CTATCAGTTGGATTTCTCTGACACTACTTCATCAGGGGAAGGGGAGCTCCTCCCTTTTTTATTTTTAGGTGGAAGCACAGGCCCTCCCCACCCTGTCCCGCCCCCAGCTTGGCTTACATTGACACCTCAGGTGGGTGGTGCCTTGTTACTGTGGGGGTGGAGGGGGAGTTCAACTCTGCAGATGTCCCCCTCTGACATTGTCCCAGCAGGGAGAGGGAGGGTGCCTTGTTGCTGCAGCATGGAGATGGAAATCCTAGCTCCCTACCTGGCCTCCTGATACTTCCCTAGCAGGGGTGCTGGGACTCCTATCAGCCAGCAAGGTGGGAGTCTAGCCTTTGCTGTCATGGTGGGGGTCAGGCTGCATCTTTTCTGTGGTATCTGGCTGGAGTAGGGAGGGTGGTTATTGTCTTAAGAGTTTTCTGTCTTGCCAGGCTGTCTTTTCCCTGGCCCTTTGGCTGAGGAGAACAAGCTTTTATATTTTGTCTGTGCCTCTTGGCTCTCCCAGGTTGCCTGCTCCTGCAGTCCTCCTTTTGGGACAGAGGCAAAAAGAAAACCCAAGGCCCCCTCACCTCCTAGTGGTTTCTTGGGTCCTGAAGTGTCTGCATCCTGCCTGCCTTTTCTCCACTTTGCAGAGTGTTCTCTGGTCTGTCTCATATACAGTGTCCAGGGTTTTATTTGTACATTAGAAGAATAGGGAAAATTATATCTACCCCATCTTCCAGGAAGCAGAAGTTTCAGGGAACCCTATTTAGAGGGGCTTTCGGTTGGAGAGTCTGCCCAGACCACCAGCAGCCTCCTCGCAGAGACCAGCCAGAAGGAAGAGCAGACTGTGTTACTGGGTCTGTGAGGGAAGACTGGGCTGAACTGGAAGAGAAGCAGGTCAGGGGTCTCTTTCACATAGTGACTTGTACATGGGGTGTAGGTATAGGCTATTGGTGCTTTCACCTGGGTAGCCTGCCTGAAACAACCCAGCCCCAGCCTTTGGGTCCTTACAGCCCAACTTGGACCCTCAGGATTGACTGAACAGAGAGCTGCTTCTCCTGTACAACCTCCCCCCCCAAACAAACAAACAAACAAAGAAAAACAAGCCAGAAAACAAACAAAAAAAAAACCTAGCTAGCATACCACTAAGAGTTTCTAGAGCATACTGCTATGTACCAGGTTCCTTGGGTTCCTTAGTTGTCTGTTTCAAAGTTGTGATTCAGGTTATTATGGGTTCTCAGGAAGAGAGGGCCTTCTGGCCTGTTGGAGGCATTGACCCAGAGAAGAAGGTGAGAATTGTGATGGGGGAACTGCTGCCTCACAAAACCACTCATGACAGTGGCTCTGCTGGGTGCTTTTGGACTTACTGAGATGACTGGGTCTGATGTGGGCATTTTAGATAGTCTGAGAAATATTGGGAAAAACTGCAGTACTTCCTGGGCCAGTTGGCCAGGTCAGGATGGCAGATTATCTTAGTTGGGTATCCTGGTGCTTGACTTCTCAGGCTTCTGGACTGGGTTACAGAGTCTGGATGTTCTTAGTAAGAGGTGCTGAGAAGTTTTAAGAAACAGCATGAGCTGATCTGCTCTGTTACCTTGGCCCCTTCCTCACTGTCCCCGTAACACAGCATTCCTGCCACTATGCCTGTGCCCAGAGAGCCCTCTCTACCCCAGTCTATCCTCCTGTGTGTGTATGTAGGGGAGAGACTCACGTCCTTCAGAGTCATTTCTGCTCCCCCATTTGCTCACTTTAGATGGTAGTGCAGGGTGGCAGGGTCTCCCAGTGACCCTGGAGCTGCAGAGTAGACACCCGATGGTTCTTGTTGTTCAGCTGTAGGCACCAAGTCAACTCTGCAGGTGCTTCTTGCTCCACCCCTACTCTGTCAGGCCTGTGCCTGCTGCCTCTTGCTCCCCTTCCGTCTTCTGTGTCTGACACATTCCACCACCCTTCCTGCAAATCAACAGACTAGGTTATTGACCTTCAAAACCTTTGTACCTATCTCTTTGAATGAATTTTCCCAAATTTGGTGGTGGCAGGGGGAGTGAAGCAGTGTCACTTGAAAACTTTCAAAATGACCTGCTCCCTGGCCCCTCCCCAGATACGTTCTTCTTAGGTGTGGGAAGAGGCTTCATTAATTTACATTTCTTTTGGACTGTGAACCCAGGAGGATAGGAGCAGTTTCTTATGTATCTCTGCTTCCCCATTGCCTGACATGGGCCTTGGTAAATGATTTTGTTAACAGCTTTATTAAGATAACATTCACATACCCTGCAATTGACCCAATTAAAGTGTACAATGATGATTTTCAGTATATTCCCAAAGGTGTACAACTAACACCACAATCAATTTTAGAACATATTCCTCATCCTAAAAGAACCTTCGTACCTCTTAGCTCTAATCCCCTAATCCTTCTATCCCTCGGCCATAAGCAACCACTCACCTGCCTCTTGTTGCTATGAATTTGCCTTGGTAAATGTTCTTGATGGAATGTTACCTACTTCCAAGCCTACTCCTCCTCCCAGGGCACTTGTTTCTTGCCCTGTGCCTTTCATTGGCCCAGCCTTCTCCTTTTTCGGGATAACCTGCATACTTGGAAGTGGTACCCTTTGGGGTGATGTGTAGAAGGAAGTCATGGTCAAGCAAGGTGGATGCTGGCAGGCCATGGGGCTGTGCACACAGTAAGGCTGAGTAGACATTTGTTGAGTGAATGACACTGATGGTGGGTTGGGGTGAGACAGTGTCTGGTTCTGAGGAGCCCTGTGCCAGTTTCTCAGGTTTCCCACTGTCCCGTTAGGGACAGGTCAAGTAGATATAGCTTGATAATGTGAGGTTGCCCCAAAGTGCTGCAGCCAGAGACTAGGAGGGTGCTGCATAATGAAAGCTAGACAGAAATGGAGGGATGCGACCGTGGTCTAACCTCTCTGTTTTAGTTTGGGGGACTTTATGATGATAGGCAAAGTGGGGATTGATTTGGCCCAGGATACCTACCCCAGTGCTTCATGAGGATTTTTGTGGGGTCTGCCAAGTGTGCATATCCCTGAGATGTGGGAGAGAGGCTGAGCATGCTCACTTGCTTGGGGATGGCTGTGTGCCTCTGGTGCTTGCTGAAAAAACAGGCCTCTACTCTCTTTGCTTCTGCTTTCCCAGGCAGAATTTTATTCCCCGCTTAGGTCATGGCCCTTCTACATTGTGTCCTTCTAATCTATCCCTGGTTCACTGCCAGTACCCACTCCCGTGTTTCATCAAAGCTGGCCTCTCACCTCCTCCCTTCAAGCCTACTCCATACCCCTTGCCCACAGCTCCTCTTACCTGCTCTGTTCACGTTCATGGGGAAGAGCCAGTGTGCTTCCCCTGGGGTCCTTGAGGACCCTGCAGCAACCAAGAAAAAAGAGTGTTCTTGGCTCACCCAGGTATTGTGTGAGCTCTCTCTCAAGTGACCCTCCCTCTCTGAGTTACAGGTTCCATAGCTATTAAATGAAGTGATGTGGCAGGAGGACCCTTAAGGCTCACCCGCAGATCATTCCTTCTGTGTAAGGTGGGGGTTGGGTTTTAATTTGTGTTACTGCCCATCAAAGTGTAGTGGACAGATAGGCCTGTTCATGGCTTTTCCAGTCCCTTCTCACCAGCTGAGTGTGGCTGAAAAGGGAGGCAGAGCCAGAGTATCTGTCTGGATCTTTTAGTTCATGTTGAGCTCCTACTGCCAGGGTCTTGGATGAAGAGGATTCCTTGAATATAAAAGTATAATTGTACTTACAGGCCAAACACTGTACTCAGTATTTTTTTTCTCAGTTTTTTTTAGGTTTTGAGATCTATTATATGCCATAAAATTCATGCTCTTAAAGTGTACGATTCAGTAGTTTTTAGCATATTCACAAGGTCATGTAATCATCTCCACTATCTTACTCCAGAACATTTTCATCACCCTAAAAAGAATCCCCACAGCTGTTAATGTTCATTCCCCATCTCTTGTTCCCTCCATGTCCTGGCAACTACTAATCTGCTTTCTGTTTCTCTGGATTTATCTATTCATAAAAGTAGACTCACACTGTGTGTGGTCTTTTGTGTGTACCTTCTCTCAGCATAAAGCCTTCAAGGTTCATCCATATTGTTAGTCCATGTGTCAGTACTTATGCCTTCTTATTGCTAAATAATATGCCATTGCATGGATGCACCACAATTTAGCTATTCATCTATTAATGGTCATTAGGTTGTTTTACCTTTTGGTCATTGTCTGTACTGCTGCTGTGAACATTCATGTCCAAGTTTTTATTTGAGCACCTGCTTTAAGTTTTCTTGGGTGTGTATAGCTAAGAGTAGAATTCTGGAGTGTATGGAATTCTACGTTTAACCTTTTGAGAAACTGCCAACCTGTTTTCCACAATGGCTACACCATTTACATTCCTTTGCTTTATCTCATCCATCCTCACATAAGTTTCATGAGGTGTAGATATGATTATTATCCACCCCTACTTTCAAATGGGAGAATTGAAACTCAAAGGGTTTTCAGCTCAAGTTCATACAACCAGTGATTTGGTGATTCATTGGCCAGTGCAGGCTGTGAGCACTGAAGCAGTGTCTCTTCTTCCAGGCCCTGTTTCAGACCGTCAGGATGAGGGTATTTGACTGTGTTGTTCATGTGATATGCCTAGTACCTGGCATACCCCGGCACTCAAATGGTTATTGAAGAAAATGCCATTTTTTCTGATCTTGGTGGCTTGATCAGGAACTTGAGAGAGGCATCTGTTCCTTAGGAAGTCCTGTACTCTGCAGTTTCTCATCTTCCCACTGGGTTGTCTGTTTCACTCTCTCTGCCAGGTGCTGCAGATCTCCCCTGAGCCTTTTGCTGTCACACATCTTACTTGGAGGCCCAGCCTGTGGCTGGGGAATGAGATGTGTGAAATGTGCTAGGCAGAGGTGACTTCCTGTTTCTCACAAGTGCTTGTCATTAATTTGACTATTTAAACCTGTTCTTTCTCTCTGTTCCAAGACCACTGACTACCTGCCCTTTTCTCCTCTAGGCAAAGCCCATTTATGGTGGCTGGCTGCTCCTGGCTCCAGATGGGACAGACTTTGACAACCCAGTGCATCGGTCTCGGGTAAGGGAATCAGTGAACTCCTGGGGTGGGAGGGACCAGAGAGGGGCTTCCCTAAGGCTGACTTGACAGAAAGGAAGAAGGAGATGTGGAGCTGACAAGTGGATTGCTGAATGGTAGGGTCAGCAGGGAACCCCACTGGAAAGCTCATAGAACCCACAAGAAAAGTCTCAGTTATACCTAGTTAAGGTTAGTGCTCCCTTCAAAATAAGTTCTCACATGGTGCTGCCTGTTTCATGGGTCAGCTTGACTCTAGAATAGTTAAATGGAATAGTTAAATAGTTAATGGAAGAGGCAAAGGGGCAGTTCAGCAAATGTTTGCAATTATGCTAGTTAGGCTCCCAGTTCCTTCAGTGTCAGGGCCCTGCCTCCTGCAGCTCCCTCCTTCCCTCTTCACTTTCCTCTCCTCCTGTCCTCCCCATCCAGCTAGGGGCTCAGCAAATGAGCACTAGTGAAGGGATGAGGGCTTTGAGGACCAACTTTTGCTTTCATTCCTGCTCTCCTGGGCACTCCAGCCCAATGCAGGTTTCTGCTGTGCACAGGCTGTTGGTGCCTTGTTCCTGACCAGTGGTTTATTCTGCTGCCAGGGATCCCCTTTGGATTTGACTCCAATGAAAATGATATGTTTCCTTTTCTAAACGTTCTTTTCCAGGTGCTGTGACCTGTACCCCACTCATTGCTGCAGCTCTGCTCCCTTCTTGTCCCCTGATCTCCTAGAGAACCTCTCACTGCCTCTTGATCTCTGTTGCTGCCAGCCTGCACACTATACTTGTGGGGGGCAGCAAGGTGCCCGACATGCCCTGTGTCTGGTTCTTTGGGATTCCTACTACAGTGGGCTTTGTCCTTAAAGGCTACAAATTGGAGCCTTGGGAATGTTTCCTAGGCAGTTTCCCTTTGGACACCCAGCGTGGAACCAGTCCTCTACTGGTCCTCTTTGTAAGGGGAATGAGTGTCCTGTTTCTGCCACCCAGGCCAGAGGACTGTGATTCAATGCCTGCAGTAACCAGGAAGTAGCTCCTTTTCCCATTTATATTTAGGTCTTACAGAATTGCCATTCCCAGTTTCTAATGGGAAAATCATTATTATAAATGATGTCATTCTGGCCCGAAGAAAAGAGGCATGATATTTTAGATAGTTCTTGTGGCCTTATTGCCCATAAAAGTATGGATTATGTTGAGCTTTTTGAAGTCGTGAAAATAGGCCATGAGATCCTCATGAGGAAGGCACATACCCTCATGATCTTTTTCATTCTGCTCCCAGTGCCATTGGCCCACCATTGGCCCCCAGTACTTGGCCTTTGGTTGGAGAGCAGAGAGAGGACACCCTGTCAGTGACACACTCCTAGACATTGGAGTTGTCCCCACTGGTCTCATAGCTCCTCAGTTTTGACTTTTGTTAGCTCACTTCTCAGTGAGTACTAGAGCCTGGCTACCTTTTCCTCTGTCTCCCATTCCCTATGGGTCATCGAGACACCCTTTTATAGCAGTTTCCTAGATTTTTTCAGAAGTAGGGAATCAGTGCTTGCAATTCTCAGGTGGTTCCATATCATGTCAGATAATTCATCGAGTAAATATTGATACATATTATATGATAAACTCTGTGCTAGGTACATAAAGAATTCAAACAGGTGACCAAGACATTGCTGTTCCTGAGGAGCTTGCAAATTAAAATAAACCAGGCACCTTGTTAAATCTCAATAACTTATGTGGAAACACACTGTGTGGCTTGGGCCCGTCCTCTGACCCAATCCTGGCTAATAAATCACCATTCTTCTGCCTTGGGTCCTTCTTTTCCTGCCATCTGCCTCAGAAATGGAAGCTGTGGAATCAGAGTTCTTTAGATACAGGTTTGGCAGACTCAGGGACTTAGCACATGGAGATCAGGGCCAGAACCCTCCTAAACTTTTACTCTGGGTTCCTTTACAGAAGTGGCAGCGGCGGTTCTTTATCCTGTATGAACACGGACTCCTGCGCTACGCCCTGGATGAGATGGTGAGTGTTCTCTGCCCACTCCCCACTTCTGTCTTCTCCAGGCCACTGCTTTGGTGCTGCATTTGCATCATCTCTGAGTACAGCATCTGTGTGCTCTCACTTGGACTTCTCTTTTGGAACCCAGAATTTTTGAAGAACTTATGACAACTGATAAAGATGACCCTTCAAAACCCAGACCTTTGGTTTGAGACATCTTCAGTGGTCATGGGTGAGAGTTAAGTAATGAGGGAGGAAGTCCTTCTGTCCAAGGCTAACAGGGGTTGGTCTTGGCAATAGCATTCCTAATTAGAAGGGAAACAGGCTATGGACCTGCAGGGGCAGATGGGGGGCTGGCCCTGGGTGTGCATGTGGAAGTTGAACACACATGCCTTCCCCTGCTGTAGTCTTAAGACTGCCTCTCAATTCTGTTGCTATTATTGTTCCTGCACATCCAATTGCTTTGCAGAGGCCTGCTGGTTGTCATTGTTCTTCTGGTCTCTAAGCCAGGGCATACAGGCTCCTTCCTGCCCTGCCACCCACCTGGTTTGCTTCCCGCTTCCTGGGCCGGATGACTATGGCTCTTGGTCCAGATACAAACTCGAAAACCAATCAGGCAGAATGTTCTGGCTTTTCTTTTTCCACCCATTTGGTATCCTCATTTTTTCCTCTAAAGAAGATTGATCTCCTAACTTTTCTAAGGTATAAGCAAATTCCAAGCTTTATAAAGAGTTGAAGGTGGATGATTTGAGCACCTTTTCTGGTTCTACTTGAGTATGTGAGTATTTATGCATTCATTTGGACTGCATTTTTAAATTGGGATTATCCTAGAAAATCTAGTCACACCATGTAAAATATGTTGGCCCCATCCCACCCAGAGTTCATTTCTTTGCTTCAAGGGTGAAAGCATGTTCTGGAAGTGTGAGCAGAGGTGACTGTCCCCGCCTCTCCCCCACTCCCCCCACCATCCCCCAAGGACCTCAGAGACTGTGCCCTTGGACTTTTAGGGTGATTATTACAGCTAATAGGGGAATAGGCCACAGGTGGGTCCATTTCCACACATGCATCCTGATTTTTGCTGGTTTTTAAAAAAAGATATTATTTATTTCTAGAGAAAGGGGGATTTTATTTATTTCTGGAGAGAGGGAGAAAGAGATGGAGAGAAACATCAGTGTGTGGTTGCCTGTCATGTGCCCCCAGCTGGGAACCTGGCCTGCATGCCAGGCATGTGCCCTGACTAGGAATCAAACCTGTGACCCTTTGGTTCACAGGCCAGCACTCAATCCATGAACCACACAAGCCAGGGCTAGTTTTTGCGTTTTGATGCTTTCTCTAATTTATTTCTGGGGTAAATTAATGGGTATGTTATCTATGTATGGAATTAATAAGTATGACACCTAATCCTTTATTAACTATCACCTCATTGGTTTCTTCTTAAAAAGAATTTCCATCTTTCTCATTCTTCTGTGAGCATATTTGTACAGTGTGGATGGGCCACAGAGGATTTTTGCCCTAGAAACATGTGTGGTCCAGAGTAGTTTGAGGTACCTGAATTGCAGGTGTAGCCAGTGGGGTGGTAGAACTTACTGGCAGTGGGAGCAGGGGCACTGATTTCACTTGGACCCTCGTTTTCTTTGAGGAAAGGAAGCAGACATGGAGGTAGCTGAGTGCTGCTTCTGTGTGTTATACTTAGCTATCATTTCTGCAGTAGCTCTGGGGTGGGAGCTGGGCTGCTAAGAGCCTTGAGGTTTACTTGTCCTCCTTCTGCCTGGCTGGCCTATTCTGAAGTCCTGCAAAGACTAATCATTAGAGAAGGAGCCTCAGATGTCACTGGATTATATTTAGGCTGGGATGGACTTTCCTTGAAGATCAGTTATTCTGATCAGGAATCTTTCTTTGGGCCTAACTGGAGTCCAGCACAATTCATTATTCCCTTCAGCTCAGTTGCACAAACACAAAGAGGGCGACTACTGGAGATGCCTTTGTGTGGGCACAAACGCACTGCACATGCTGCATCCCAAGAGCCATGGAGCCATGAGAACTGACACCTTGAAGGACTTTTTGGTCTCCCAGCAACCTGGATGTTGGTTGGGTATTATTTCATGCCCTGCTAGGGCAGAAGTGGAGCTGTGCTAAGTGATGGTAGAAAAGAAAGAAGCTTCAAGAAAAACTTTAACTGCAGATAGGGCATTGGGGGAATACCCAGAGCTGAGAGTTTTGGGCCATGGACCACTTTTTGGCAGATGACCTTGGAGCTTAAGGGATTGATCCCATGAGTTAGTGCTGATCTACTCAAACTGTGGGCGGTACAGATACACTGTACCTCCAGGGAACATAGTGGCATTATTTCTGTGATGGTGAAAAAAATCAGTGGTGGTTGTTTTGAAATACCTTAAAAAAACATTTCAGGCAGGTAAGGATTTTCTCTTATGTATGGGGACAGTTGCAAGGAAGCATTTGGATTGGACTTGGAAGAGGCTGGGTAAAGAGGGCAGTCACATGCCCAGCGGCTCAGTGGTTAGCATCAGCAGCCACTGCCATGTGGCGTACAGAAAGACTCCTATTCCCCAGTGGTTTGCATGAAGACTTGTTCTTCACAGCCACTCACTGGATGAGCATCATCAGAATCCTGGAGCTCCAAACCAGGGTCAGCTTTCCTGAAGCCTGGACTCCTGCTTCCACCTGGCCAGCAGGATCCTGAGACCTGGAGCTGGAGAACTTTCAGGCAGGGTGTGTGCAGACTGAATTCTAGCCATGCTGGAAGTGTTCTGTTTGAGTACCTAAAGCTGTGGTCTTCAGTTGGGGACCACAGTGCCTCCAAGGCCTGGCATGGCCTGGAGTCATCTCAGATTCTCACAGCTGTGTGGGTGGAGGGGGTTGCTACTGGTCTGTAGTGGGTGGAGGCCAGGGATGCTGCTAAACCTGCTGTTTGCACAACAGAACAAGCCACTCCACCCACAAGAGAATGATCGGGCAGCAAATGTCAAGAGTGCCAAGGCTTAGAAACCCTATGAGATCTTGTCAGTGACTTTTTAAAAATTTTCAAATATTTTAAAAATAAAATATGAGTTGTTATCATCCCTGTTCTTCAAGGGTGCAGAAGGATTCAGTCATCAGATTTTCTGGGAATGAGAGAAGCTGGCTGGTGTCGTAGGTGCCAGGCAGGGGACAGGGGTGGGCCTGCTTCTGGTATGGAGGGGTTTCCATGGAGTGTCCCTGCACATCAGGTGACCACAGGGCTAGCAGAACTGCTTATGCATGGCTTTTACCTGGGGAGCACATAGGTACCATTTCCTGTGGCATGCTTGGACCGTCGCACCTGTGTAATGGCCCCATCTTGGTGCTGGTCTCCAAGAGCAGCAGCTCTGAGCAGCTGGTAGCCACCACTGATTTTACCACTCCCGCCAAGCTGAGCTCCAGCACTGTCTTGTCCTCTGGACCTCCCTAGTTAACCTGCATGTAATAACTTTCATAGTATTCAACGGTTGGACTTTGCCCTTAATGTTTAGTTACAGTACCTTTCAAATTGTTACTTTGCTTTTATAAAATATTACTATTTGTTTTAATTTGTTTAAATGCTATCTTACCAACTAAATTGTGGCCCCCCTCCCATTTTGGGGTCCCCTGATAATTTTTTGGTATTTTTCTGCATTGTCTGGCTTGGGGCTTAGATGGCAGAGGCCCAGTCAATATTTGTTCAGTTGAACTTGGCATCTTTGTAAATGCACAGTTGCAGAATTGCTGCTTTCAGGTTGAGAAGATGGGAGCAGGGGTGCTTCTGGGAGAGGGATTAGGAGTGTTGTGAGCATGCAGTTTTTGATGGTGCCTCAGCAGAAAGGAGAACACCCTCCAGAGGGCCCCAGAGAACCAAGTGGGGGGACTTGTGTGGGCTGCCTTTACTAGGATCAAGAGGGGCACAAAGCAGTCACTGTGGGTGTCAGGAGTCCCAGGAGGAGGATGGGCCTCAGTCCCTGGGCAAGTGCCTGCCTCAGGGGCTGCTTCGAGAGCCCTTTCTGCTTGGGGTCTTCTACTAGGTTTGGACCTTCTAGGAACTAATTATTGCCTTTCTTTTCCACAAGGTTCTGGGTTGCGACTACCTTTTTGGGAGTCACTTTTGCTTTTGGGGGAAGTTTTTTTCTTGCTACACCTACGTACCCTATAACTGGTGGGTGTGGAGGAGAGGCAGTTTTCCCAAAAAAGGAAGAGAAATTTCCCAAATGCAAGCTTCGGCGTGGTGGGCCCAGGGCAGCCTCACAGACAAGCAGGAGCCTGAGCACCCTGGTTGGGCCTCTGGTGTTCCAGCCGTGGGCAGAGTGAGGGGTCTGGGAACCCAGACTGCTGCCTTTCTCCTCTACTTTTGTTTTCCCTCCTGCAATCCACCCATTATTTTACCAAATTCTGATACTTCTTTTTGAGCTTTTGGGGACTGATGTAAGGCTAATATGCTGGCATCTTCAGAACCCAAAGGCCACTGTAGGAGGCTTTCCCAGAGAAACACCAAGTCCCAAGGGAAAGCAGGCCCCGAGATTTGGGCAGGGCACACTGCACAGTGAAGTTCTGGGGCCCTTGTTTTCATGTTCTCTTCCTTTTCCCTCCTGGAAGCAGGCAAAAAGATGGTCTGAGCCTCTTTTGTTTCTAATTATGGTAAAATACATGTAACAGAATTGACCATTTTAATCATCTTTAAGAGTACAGTTCTGTGGCATTAAGCACATTCATGTTGTGCAACCATCACCCCATCCATCTGCAGAATTCCTTTCATCTTGCAAAACTGAAACATTATCCCTGTTAAACACTAACTCCCCAGTCCCCTTCCCTGCAGCCCCTGGCAGACCCCATTCTACTTTCTGTCTGATTTTGACTTCTCTAGATTCTTCACATAAGTGGTGTGTGCTTTTCTTGGGGAGTAGCTGTGGGTTTGACAGTTCTAAAGGATGCGAAGGTCCAGCCAGAGTAGCTACTCTGGGATGTGTGTGCTCGTGTGTGAAGCTGTAAGCTTGGTCTGAATACTTTAGAGGACAGTG